AATGAGCACAATCAGCCTAAGCTAGAATTTGAACTCTACTGATTCCATTTTTTGTATTGTAACCATTAAGCTACATACAAAGCCATTGGGCTCAACACTTAAAATGAAAGTAAATAACTTACTACTTCTGTCCCATAAAATTTGGTACATTTAGTTGTATGAAAACTGTATGTGAATGTAACATCTTTTAGAGGACAGAGATACTAATATAGAATTAGAAATACTTATTAAGTGTAACAGAAATGTTTGCTATTTCCAGTTAACCCAAGGCACTTTTTTTTTTTTAAACTGACAATAGTTGTGATCATAGAGTCATTTTGAACTACGTGATCCTTTCATTAGCTGCATTGTATGTGCTCTGTCAGAGCTACATACATTTTTTCCATTCATAGTTGCCCTTCTCCTAAACTGGCTACCACTCAAGGCTGAAGAGCCCAGTCTGCACTATTATTTACCCATAGTTGGATGCTTGGGTAAATCGTAGGGCAGATTGGATCCTTGAAACTTGGGTGGTAGCCACACTGCAATGATGGAAATTCCAGAAATCTGCAATTAACTCAAAACAGAAATCAATTCTGTTCATTTACTAAAATTAGATTGCAAAAATACAATAGAATTTTAATATGTATTCAAGACCATGAAATTATCTCAAAGAAGAATATTTTTTTCAATCACTAAGCAAATATTTATCAGTAAATCAATGATTAAATAAATAATATATTTATTTGCAGTAACATTATGATTTCTTCTCACTCTTTCAATTATCGTTAGAGTTTTTCTTTCTAGTTTCAAATAACTTTCCAAGAATTAAGTTGCTTTCAAACATAAATGCAATCTCTTTATTTATTTTTACTTTATTTCTTTCTCTCTCTTGTATTCATTATTAAACAGGAAGTATACTTGTAAAATAGTTAAGGCAGTTAACCAAACAAAAAGACAAAGCACACCAAATTGAGAAAAATAAGCAACAAGCAAACAAAATAAAATGATCTGTTTTTCATATTAAATCCAATACAAAATAGAAAAAGATTAATAATATATTCAGTATAATAAAAAGAGACAAAATATACAAGTGATATATAATTAATGTCACTGATGTATATCATATAAATAAATGTCTATGTATTTAGTCTTCCAGACACAATAAGAAAAAAAGAAATAAGTTAATAGCTATCTCCACAAGACTTTAGAATGTCTTATTTATTTTAAATTGTGACCCAGCATTTTCCTCTCATATCATTTTCATTCTTATCACAAGCAGACCAGAGGAAAAAAAATTGATATATCAAAGGCAGGATATATTCAAATCTTTAAATGAGCAATGCCTAAGAAACAAATATTTATTTATTTTTTTTAATGAAAACTGTTCTTGGAATGACTAATTTATAATATGAAGGTAGAGAAAAAAATTTTCTGAGTAGAATAATTGCAGATGTAAATTTGGATAATGTGAATCTGAATATATTTGGAGACCATTTTCAATCTTAAAATTATCAAAATCAAAAAAAAAAAAAAGGCCAAATCATCTATAAATTCATCTCTAAAATATAAAACCCATATTTCACTTTTCTATAGAGAAATGCCAAACTCTGCATCTTCATTTATCTTTGATGGAATGCATGAAATAAAATAAAAGGTAGATAGAGAATTTCTAAAAAAGATCCTTCTTCTCCCTTTGAAACAAACAATTTATTGAAATGATTTATCTCTTAAATATCCACCTATGTATACTACCATGTTGCCAATGAAAAATTATTGTGAATAGATTGATTTCTCATGAAACTGAATTGACATTAAAATGTTAGCCAAGCCAATTGAGAGAAATATTTGTCTTGAAGGAAACTTTAAACATTTCTTGAGAAAATATGCTCACATTAAAAATGGGTAAAAGAAAAGAAAAGACTTCAAAATTAAGTTATTTACATTTAAATCCTTTCCAAAGTCTCAGAGTTTAAGCAGAATATTCCTTGCCAAAAAGCAACCTCATCTATAACTATCTTACAAATAGCACCAAATTGATACATCTTTTATTCCCTTTGTTTTGTATATGAATTCTTTGAATATTCTCTTAGTTTTAATGATTTTAAAATCAAAATTATTTATTCAGAGTTTATTTTATAACCTTTTATAGTCCTGCATGTCCAAAATATAACAAAGATTATTTCAGAGTCACTTTCAGTGATGATAAACTTTTTTACAACAAATTAGTTATGTGCCATGTGTGATACATGCTTAGGCGATCATGTATCTTTTGATACATGACTGATGAGGCAGAGTTTTTTCCTGCAGTAGGTTGCCATTTCTTTCTGTGGTAGACCAGTTGCAATCCAAAGCTATAGAACCTGGTGTGTCCTGCTATTTACCCATAGCTGGGGGAGGAGAAGAAGAAGATTCATATCTTTCCTAAGGGTATTAGCACATTAGTGAATGTAATGGATTTGACTGGAATTTGAACTCAGCTCTCCAATTCCTTAATCTGAGCCGCTATACATTACTCCACTGTATACAAAGTGATAAAGGTTAACAAATGTAACAGTTTAAATTTCATGCCAGATATTACTTACATTTGGAAATAATCAACTAGCTAATTTGGCATTAATCCCTTGTTAAAAACTTTTACTTTTATTTCTGTTATATCTAAGTTGTATACCCAATAGTATTTTTTAAATGTGCATCAGTCTTAAAATTTTGCTTCCTTTTGCAGCTGCTATCCTTAGTAATTTCCATCCCTAAATTTTTGACTTATTCATTTGCCACCTACTTTTAAGTCCTAAGTAAGAGGCAAGAGGTTTGAATCCATTCAACTCTATTCAAAAATTTAGATCTAAAATCTAAACGATGCAGCTACTCATATCTGAGGATGCCAGTCTATTAGGGTGGCTAGCTAATTCCCATTGGAGATGCCTGCTCAGGCACATTTGTGTTTATTCAACACCCACAGAGCCCACCTGTGGGTTATACTGCAACTATGCTGAGTGTACCTTAGTTACAGTTACTGGGAGAGAGCACATTATCTAGTGTGATCAACAGTCTGAACAAGGCCAGCACATTCAAACCCTCGGTCACGATGATTTGTGACTTTGTGCGAGCACAACCACTGATGACTCCCATTGATTCCATCTACCCAATTTCACTCACAAGGCTTGGGTCAACATGTGGTATGGTTTTTAGGTACTTCTCAAAGGTGTCACATGCAGAGATCACTTCCTCCAGACCAATAACATCCAAAAGTCACCTTCCTGACAAATCAACTCTGGTGAGATTTGAACCTGGGTCTCATGGTCAGAAAGTGAATGTTCTAAACACCCAACCATGTGCCCATCAAAATTTAGATACAACTTTAACAAATATACAAACAATATACCAGTGGAATTTGGGAAACTATTTATGCCTCAGAGGTGAATGTGTTCTGTCATTAAGTTGATTGAAGGTGGCGAGTGTGAAATAGCCAGGGAAATGTGTTTAAGTGCATTCATGCACACTTGTTGCAATGTATTAGTATTGATGCTTGCCCAAGCACAAAATATATTAAGTCTATACATACACATACAGAGACATAGTTCTGCTTTGCCAAATAGCATATGGAACATTCTCACAGTTATGAGTTTGTCTATATATATATATATATATATATATATATATATATATATATATAATTATTATATACAGGGTGTATCAGAAATACTTTTACAAATTGGGGAGGGGGTTCCTTGCACCAAAACAAGGACAAAAGTCCATATAAACATATGTCTGCAAATCCTTCATTTTTGAGAAATTAAGTTTAAAGAAAGTTTACAGTAGATAGTGCTGTGTTGCCATGTAGACTAGGTTACATTTGTCATTTGTGTACATTTGTGGCTAGTCTGTCTTCAATATTTAATATGTATAGTAGTGAGTTAACTGAGAAGTGTTCCATTTAACAATAGCAGGATTTTCATATCAGAAGCAGGCAGATATGATTTTTATGCATGACTGCACGAATAGTAATGGCTGCACGGCTGTATTAGATTGCATTTCCAGACTGAAGACAGTCAAGTCATCCAAAAAAACAATTGAATACAACAGGCCAAGTTCCCCAGAGACTACTACTAACAAGCAGGGATTTTTTTCTCCTGATGATGACCATGCTGGCTGAAACTAAGTTGAGGAACCTAATTAAAAAATAAGTATATTAATATACAAACCAGTGTCTGAAATTCGAATTTTTAACAATTTTTATTGTTCAAGACACACATGCGCACACACACAGACACATACACACATATATATTTGTAAATGTTAATGGTTATTTAAATTATAATATAGTGCAGAAGTACTTGTTTTTCATTTAAAGTATAAATATTTGAATAAAAATACTGCCTTAATTATTTTCTTAATGTATATTATTCATATTTAGTCATATTTAAAAAAATTTTACCATTTCAAACTTGTTCTCTATTAGTTTGAGTGAGTTAGAATCTGATGGCAAGTCATGCAACTGAGTTTTCAGTGCAGTGGTGAACGTTTGGTAAAGCTATTTCTCTTGACTGGGTTCTAAATTCAACTGTGGATAATTTTTTTCTTCTATTTTATTATTATTTTTAGGCGGAGGTAATTTTGTCTTTTCTGCAATGGAGCCCACAAAGAAAAATTCTAAGAAGACAATTAACTTCAAGAGAAAACTATGGAAAAAAGATTAACATTGAGATCACTCCCTTGCAGACATTGCTTAACTTCTGTGTGTTATGTGTAAAAGAAAAGCTCAAACCCAGATACACCATTTGATGTTTCATGATTGGTGAAAGAATTCAGTAGACTGCTATTACATTTTGTTTGGCAACCAAGACTCTAGCACTAAGTTTGTCCTGTTATTTAACCCATAGATGGAGGGAAAAGAAATATATTCATACTTTTCCCAATCAGATTCGTTAATCAGGGAATGTAACAAAAGTGGAATTCAAACTCAGTTGTCTGATTTCTCATTCTAAGGCATTATCCATCACACCACCCACACATCCAAGCTTACAACTCCTAGTATTCCCAAACAGTCACCCATCTACGTACTAGCCTGGATTAACATTGCTTAACTTCAGTGATTGGATGAAAATTGGTGTTACAACCTGACACTAAGGGGGACACTGAGAATTTTAAATTTAAATTTTTTTTTTTTTAATTTTATAATTTTTTTAATGTTTTTGGTATATAATCTAGCTGATTTCATTTAGATTCTTATGAGACCAGCTGGATTATATATCCAAAACATATTTTTAAAAAAAGTTATTCTCAGTTTCCCACCATTTAATTTATACACGTGTGTACTTGCATCAACGTAAACATAAATTTAGTAGGATGAAGTCCTAAAGGATTAAACGTGTCACACAAAAACTTGACAAAAATATAATAACACACTGTAACAAAATGTAATTATAATTAAAAAAAAAAGTCTTTTATGCAAATTATATGTTAAAATAGTAAATATATGTTTCTTGTTTTTCCTGATTAAGATTTTTTTCATTTTTATTCACAAACAGAGATTATTGGTAGAGATATGCACAAACTATGTATATTCACTCCAGTAAGAAATCTTCATAAAATTTTCAGATTTTTCTTATTACTGGTATTTCCACTTCGTTTTCACTTCTCAGTAATTGCAAATATACCTATCCTAAAATACATTTTAAATCTGGCAGTCTAGTAGCTAAACTATTAAGTCTTTTTTTCCAAACTGAGAGAAGATTTATATCAGCTGTTTTGAGATTAAGTTTCAGCGACATCACATTCAAGATTGCTTTAATTTTGACAATGGCTATTTTCATAGAATCACAAGAAAGGGCAGTCAGTTTAGAAAAAGAAGTTCATTTTGCTTCCTGTCTCTGAAAAAAACTCATGATCCACAAAATTAAATTTATGATATGTATCTGGTCTGCTGATATTTAACTTATTCAGGTTTTTCTTCTTTTTACAGATTTACACAACAGCACAAGCTGATCATTGATTTGGGGAGATTGAAAAATACATTAGTTTTGTTATTTTTTTTTATCTTCAGAGATGAAAAGATACAAAAACATATACCACCAAAAATATGATTCGCATTCTTGAAAGCAGTGATAAAAATCAGGTGAGTGTTATTTTTTCAAATGCTGCTATCCAATGAAATTAGCATATCCGGATCCAGCAAGGCTGCAGCAAATCTAATCTGATAGCTGATTGGATGTCTCCTCAGATGTGGAAGCCAAAAGATAAGAAAGTGGCATTTATTGATAGCCTCAGGTGGGCAACAAATATATATATATATATATATATATATATATATATATATCTCAAATTCTCTTTCTCCTGTCTAAATTTATTTGCTTACTTCATTTGCTTGTTTGTTATTGATCCACAATTAAAAAAGAAAAAAGAAATCATTGGATAAATTTTCAAGATGGCTGTGATCAACAATGTGCAAATACCAAAGTCTGATATGCCAAAAGGTTAGCAGTTCAGCAGATGAATAGACACAGCACAAAGGGAGGTCATCCATAAAAGATTATCACCACTAGAGGCAAGATAGATTTTGGTGGGTAGATAAAGCTAATGAGAAACTGCATGAGAATGGAAAAAGCTGAATCATGCAGGTAAGGAAGCAGAGAGAAGCACCAAGAGGATCTTTACTTTTTTCTTTCCCCTGACTCAAGCATGCAGACAGATTTCATCAACTTAGAAGAATAAATATCTACAAATTACCTAGTAAATATGTTTTTGTATGCTTTTCATTGAAATTTATATTTTGACAATGAAAATCTATCTTGGACAATTGCAGTAAAAATGAATTGGAACTCTCAAGTGTTGAAGTTAAAAAAATGATACTGATTTAATCATTCATCTTGAAGAAAGGATGATAGTTTACTACTGTATAAATATATTTAAATTTAAATAATACAAACAAATTGTACAAATTTTCAAGAGAAAGGAGAAAGATAAACATTTATAGATCTTTCTTCTCAGAGCGCATGTTCAAAGTAGAATTTCAAAAAAACTTTAATAAATCATTTGGGGATGTTATGTCAGGTACATTTAGAATTTTGAGGATAGCATAAAAATCCTACTTACTCAATATCTAATGGTGATAATGTAAAGTTTGGTAAGGAATAATTTAATGCAATAATCATTAAAACAAGAAACAATCTTGAAATCTCTCTGTATGAATCTGGATAAGATTAGAATCAAAGAATTCTCATTAATATGGAACAAAGTCAAAATATTCTGCAGATGAATAAAAGAGATGAATTATGGATAGCATAGTTTAGTCCAGCTCAAAGACATACACACGTAGGGGATCTTCAATGAGGATGAAACTTATTTCAGTATTATTAATTTGAAAAAAGTATTTTTCAAAGGTTGTTTGAATTTATGGCTCACATCATTTTTACTTTTTTTTAACTAATTTCAGCAGATTTATTCTGTGGCTTTCTTTTGGTAGATAATTCATATGGTACGAAGAGTTCTCTTTTTTCAGTTAGTATCTACCAATTTTCTCCTTTCACTGTTAAAAACAATAAAACAAAAGATAAAAATGGAATTGCCCATTTTAGTTACTGCAAAACCAGTTCAACTGATTAGTGTATTTGCTATAATTTTTTTCTTGTATTTCTTTTTTTTTTTACCTGTTTTCAGTGATAGAATGAAGGTACTGGTAGACTAACTGGAAAAAGATAATCCTCCTTCTATATTTTATTCTTCCTCTGAGAAAGACGAGAAGATGGATCAACCAAAACCAGTGCACTAACACCAAAAACAATTGTAATAATGATAATTATATGATTGTTTTTGGATCAGGGAAGAGAAAAAATGCAACAGTTGATGTGATTATAGAAGATACAAGCACAGTAAGGGAGTGGGTAATGAATTTCAGCAATGATGACAGGGGTATAGGATGAGCCACATTTCAGGTGACCCTGTGCATCTACCAATCCAGGAAATGTTCATTGGAGGTGAAAATACTGTAGTCATAAATATTTGGAAAAAGATTTTGTAATTGAAATCTTTCTCTAACTCAGTGTTATTGTATTCCTTGTATTTGTTGCAGTTTCCATGGGAAAAAATTGGAAGCATCATTTTTGGAGCATCTCTCATAATTCAAAGGTGTAGGCTTAAAATTATCTTTGATCTGTTGGTCTTTAATAATGTTCATGTTACTTGATAGAGTGTTATGAGATTCTTAATCTGTCATAATTGTTCATTTTTGAAATTCTTTCTTTAATTATTAAATATTTAATTTAATAATTTCTTTTTAGATAACATTTTAACTATATATTTGGTTTAGCTAGCAAAATTTAATTTTCAGAAAGTTTTATTTTTAAAAAGTGTATCATAAACACAAAAGATTTGGAATGCTGATCTCACCACTGAGCTCCAGAGAAACAAATTTGGTCATTTTATATTGATTTATAAGCCTTCCAAATTATTTTTATTGATTTGTTTTTTATGAATATCAACCTTTTGCAGGTTATTTAAAGTTGGAGCATGTTTTTAGAGTGTAAGAATTTTTTTGAGACAATAATGATTTTCTGAAACAATCCTACTATTTAACCCATAGCTGGTTGGGGTGGGGAAAAAGAAGTAGATTCATACCTTTCCCAAGGGCATTTGCACCTAAGTGAATATAATGAAACCGGTGAACTGGAACTTGGTTTTTCAATTTCGCATTCTGAGATCATTACACAGCCTGAACATCCAAGCTTACAATGGTCACCCATTACAGCTTGATACCATATTGTCATGAAAGAAAATATATAATTCTGGTTGACTTAAAATGGGAGAAAGATGGAGGAGGTAGATTTAGCCTTAGCCTAGGTCACTTGAACTAGGCTAAAAGAAGCAACTGTTTGTTTTGGCTGCTGTAAACAAGCTGAAATTGACTGCTGCTTTTGTTACTCTTTAGAGAGACATCACTAAGTGGCTGACACATGACCCATGTAACTTATCTCTACCAAAGGGAGATAATCTCCTCTGTATCCCTAAGGCTTATGTTGCCATCTATTTAACAGACTGCTGCAATACATTTTATTGAATGAAATAAGTTATGGAATATCTATTTATTGCAAAGAAAGATATTTTATCAAAGCTCACTGTTGTGTTTATCTATAGTTATAAATTTGAACAATAATCTATCCATTTAATATAATAACCTGGAATCAAAAAAGTAAAGTTCCTTATGAAACACAAATGTCTTTTTTCCTTGTATCAGATTAATGTCCTCATTAACTTTTTTTTGTATTAGTTTGACCACTGATTAACTCTTTTTTTTTATTGGTTTGACCACTCTGATTAACTGTCTCTTTTTATTGGTTTGACTCCCTCCTGATTAACTCTCTTAGTATCTGTATGGCCCCCTGATTAAGTATCTATTTGTATTGGTTTGACCCCACCCAATTAACTCTTTCCTTAAACTCCTCCCCATTTACTCTCATTGTATTTGCTAGATCCTGCTGATTAACTTTTTCTTTTTATTGGTTTGGCTCCTTTGATTAACTTTTTCTTTGTATCTATTTGGTTCCTGATTAAGTGTCTCTCAGGATTGGCTTGGCTCCTGATTAAGTCTCTTTGCACTGATTTGGCTCCTGATTATCTCCCTTTTTAAATCTCTCTTCTAATATGCTTGACTCTTTTATCTTTTCACTTATCTACTTGACACTCTATATATTCTCCCTTTTCTATTTGGCTCCTTATTAATTCTGTCTTCTTATTTGCTTAACCATCTATTAACTCTCCCTTTTTTAGCTGTCTAACTCTATTAATATACTATGTTTGAGACATGTAAGAGGATTCTGGTATAAACAAGTGTTTTAATCTATTAACTCTATTAATAATGAAATGCTAATATGGCTGAATAATAAAAAAGTAACTTGTATATTTAATCTCTAAGGGGAATTGTGATTATTGACTTTCCAGAGAGATAAAATAAAAACAATGATGCAATGTTGGCAGATTATACAATTATATTGAGGGAAGTATTGCTGTTCTGAAGGAACAAATGATCATTATGTCTCAAAAATGCACCAAAAGTTTGTTCAAGTTTGGTTATATTTTAGTATGATCATTAATAAATAATCATACTAAAATATAACCAAACTT